CGATTCCGGTCAAGGGCATGTACCTGGGTTGTGGGCACATCCCCAGTAGGAGATGTGCAGGAGGCAGCTGATCGATGTTTCTCTCTCATCGATGTTTTTAATTCTCTATCTCTCTCCCTTCCTCTCTGTAAAAAATCAATAAAATATATTTTAAAAAAACAACCCACAATGAGATACCACTTTACAATAGGATGGCTATACCCAAAGACAAACAATACCAAGTGTTGTCTCCAAGGATGTGGAGAAATTGGAATTTTCATATAGTCATGTGCCACATTATGTTTCAGTGAGGGTGGTCTCATCCTGTATAATAAAAGGGTAATATGCAAATTGACCAAACAGCAGAACAACTGGTCGCTATGACACGCACTGACCATCCTTAGCACTGCCATGGAGGCGGGAGAGGCTCCTGCCATCACTGCTGAGCTTCCCAGCTGTGAGCCCAGCTTCTGGCTGAGTGAAGTTCACCCTGTGGGAGTGCACTCACCACCAGTGGACAGCTCCTGCATTGAGCATCTTCCCCCTGGTGGTCAGTGCGCATCATAGCAACCAGTTGTTCCGCTGTTTGGTTGATTTGCATATTAGCCGTTTATTATATAGAATTTTAGAGTACTTGCTCCTTATTAAAAAAAGTTTGTTAAAAAAAAAATTTGTTGTTGCCCAGCCCACGGGGCTCAGTGGTTGAGTGTCAATCTATGAACCAGGAAGCCCGGTTCAATTTCCAGTCAGGGCACATGCCAGGGTTGCGGGCTTGATCCCCAGTGGGGGGCATGCAGGAGGCAGCCATTCGATGATTCTCTCTCATCATTGATATTTCTATTTCTCTCCTTCTCCGAAATAAATAAAAAATATATATTTTTTTAAAAAGGTTGCTGTCAAACAGTGTGTCATATTACTCCAGCAGCAGTAATATGTGTCTATCATCTTGTGTCTATCATGCGTTTTGATTGCATTATTTTGTCTTTGGTGGATTTAATCTTGTGTTGTTTTATAAAGTAAAATGTTTTATAGGCTTATAGTCTAGGAGGAATAGGCTGTCCCATATAGCCTAGGTCAGTGGTCGGCAAACTCATTAGTCAACAGAGCCAAATATCAACAGTACAACGATTGAAATTTCTTTTGAGAGCCAAAGTTTTTAAACTTAAACTATATAGGTAGGTACATTGTTATTAACTTAATTAGGGTACTCCTAAGCTGGCCTTTGCTAAAAACGTCCTCAATCTGATTGAGGCACGTTCATTGAGGTCGACCCCTTCCAACTCTCCCATCCACACTCGTCTTGTATACTTGTTTCGTCTATTCTTAAATTGATGACAAAAATACCTGTAGGATTTGCAGCTGGCTGGAAAAATACAGGTAACTTTAGGCTTCGAGTAGGTACTTTTGTCACCCGCGCACGATTTGCGGACTCGACTAACACTAACCACTGCACAATGAGACTGATGACTGACTGGCTCACTCAACTTGTGCATGAATCACACGTGCCTCCCCTGCGCTGCATATCCCGAAGCTCGCCTGCGCAGCAGCGTCTCCCATCGCCCGAAGGACTGACACCCCCCCACTTCTTCAAAATAAACTCGCCCGGGCCGAAAACTGACTTCTGTGCATGGGCCACTAAGTTTCAATCATACTGTATGTGCGTGCCTGCATGTGGTATTTTGTGGAAGAGCCACACTCAAGGGGCCAAAGAGCCGCATGTGGCTCGTGAGCCGCAGTTTGCCAGCCATTGGCCTAGGTGTGTAGTAGGTTATACCAGGTCCATCTAGGTTTGTGTAAGTGCACTCTATGATGTCCACACAACAAAATCACCTAACAATGCATTTCTCAAAACATATCCTTGTCAAGTGGGACATGAATGTATTACTGGCGGAAATGTAAAATGGTACAGCCACTTTGGAAAACATTTTGGCAGTTCCTCAAAAAGTTAAACATAGTCATCACATGACTCAGCAATTGCACTCCTAAGTGTATATCTAAGAGAATTAAAAATATACATCAATATAAAAACATATCTGAATGTTCATAGCAGCCCAAATGTAGAAACAACTCAAATGTCCATCAGCTGATGAATGGATAAACAAAATGTGGTATATCCATACAATCAGCCATAGAAAGAAATTGCTATGGACTAAATGTTTGTGTGCCTCCCCTCAAACTCTGTATCTTGAAGCCCTAATCACAAATGTGATACTATTTGAAGGTGAGGCTTTGGGAGGTAACTAGGTTTATATAATTCCATGAGGGTGGAATGCCCATGATGGGAACGGTGGCTTTATAAAGGGATAAAGAGATCACAGCTTACTTGCACTCTGACTCAGTTTTCTCTCTCCCCCTACCACATGAAGACAGAAAAAGGAAGCCATCTGCAAACCAGAAAGAGGGCTCTCACCAGAACCTGACTATGTTGGCATTCTGATCTCAGTCTTCTAGCCTCCAGAACTGTAGAAATAAATGTTTGTTGTTTAAGACACCCAGGCTATGGTATTTGTTATAGCAACTTGAGCTTACTAAGATAGAAATGAAGTACTGTTACATGCTACAATACGGACGAACCATGAAAACACGTTAAGTAAAAGAATTCAGAAACAAAAGGCTACATATCTGAGTCCATTTATATGAAATATTCAGAAAGGCAGGTCCATAGAGAAAGTAGATTAGTGAATGCTAGGTGATGGGGCCTGGGGGAATTGGACAATCTCCTAAGAGGTATAGATTTCTTTTGGGGGTGATGGAAATGTTCTAGAATTGGTGGTGATGACTGTAAAACATTGTGAATATATTAAAAAATTGCTGAAATACACACTGTAAATTATTTAAATGGTGAGTTTTATCTCAATTTTTAAGTTTAAAAAATTATAATTTTCATCCAAATCATACTTATAAATATATATAAAATAGAAGCCTTTGAAATTAACCTATCTAATAAAGAGGGAATATGCTACTTGACCCTCACACCGTTGCACCCACAGCCAATGAGGGAATATGTTAATTGACTGCCCCACCCTCAAAGATGGTGGCACCCACAGCCAATAAGGAGGGAATGCTAATTGACTGTCACACCCTCAAAGATGGCAGCGCCCAGTTCCCTCAGCCCCCCTAGGACCTGGCCGCGCGCATGCCTCCAGAGTCCTACAGTCCCCTCAGCCCCCCAGCTGCCCAGGGCCGGCCCGAGGTGCAGACAAACCTCAGATGTCGGCTTCCCAGCTGATGCCCGAGGCGCAGGTAAGCCGACGTCCGAGGCGCAGTTAAGCCTCAGATGTCGGCTGCCCAGCAGCCCAGGGCCACCCGAGGCTCAGGTAACCAGGGTTGGCCAAGGCTTGCACTGCCGGCAGTGGCAGCAGCAGAGGTGTGATGGGGGCGTTGCCTTCCCCTGATCGCCGGGTTGTCTCCTGCCCCTGAGGGCTCCCAGGCTGTGAGAGGGCAGGCCAGGCTGAAGGAACCCCCACTCCAGTGCATGAACTTTCATGCACTGGGCCTCTAGTATAAAACATAAAAACACAGTTGTGGATTTTTTTCTGTCCTCTTCAAAAATTCTTAAATTTCAATGAAGCATTTTTTATAACAAGAAAAAACCTGAAACCAATCTAAATATCCATTATTAGGAAATTTATTAAATTATGATGCAGCTATCAGAAAGACTGATATATGTTAGTTGAAAAAAGCACAGGTTCAAACAGTGGCTGAAGTATGATTTAATGCTATGCAAACGTACTTGTATCTGCACAAGCTCTTAAAAGTGCTAACCACAGCAGAATTGAAATTGGAAACCCTTAAGTTTTAATTTTATGTCATCCTATATTATTTTAATAAAAATTTGTTTGAAAAAAAGTAATATTTCATTCCTCTTTGGAATAACAACTTCAAGTATTTAGATGGCTTTCAAATGCATTAAGCATTCAAGTTATCTGTTGAATATAACATGTGCAGTATGTAAGGAAAGCTTCTTTAAACATTATTGTCTTTTACAATCAGAAAATGGATGCTGCAATAGCACAACCTACATTTTCTGATAGATTGTACTCATTATCACAGGCATCATTTCCAAACACTTTGCCATAAAGCCATTTTACAAGGAGAAAAAAAAATAACACTACCAGGAAAAAAGCAACTCTACAAACAAGAGAATGTAAAATGAGAAATTATATTTCTGATAACATGATTCAAAATTATGTATTATGATAATAGTGATTTGTGATCTTAGATATATAACATGAACCTGATATAAGGATACTATGCCTATAAGGACATGAAAGCTATTATAATGTAGGAAGAGTAAATTTGCTAGATTCATGCGTAGAAAGGTACTGAAGATACATAATAATGGGAACATCTTACAAGTATTAAATTACTTGAAAATCTACAAAAGGATATTAGCAGCATCAGAAGCCTAAAAGGTACATCAGCAAAAATATAGGATACATATTTTATCTAATTCTTACTGTTGTCAGAGAATCTGTATGATTGGATAAACACTGGAGAAATTTGTTTTGAGGTAGAGATGAAAATATCACAACAGAAATTCATACTTCTACTTAGGAAGTAATGATGGCAATTTAAGGAGAAAAAAACCTACCTGCCATTCAAACTCACTGTCTGACCAATCCCAGTATGTGCTAATAGAAGAAGAGACATCACTGCAGACACTCCCCTCAGGAAATAAATCAAAAGAAGTGAAGTCTTGATCATCTAACAGGGAATAGCAATCATCTTGATCTCCAACAGAAACTGATGAAAACAGCTCCTCACTGCATTCTGAGCTGGCAACACTTGTTCCACAAGAAGTTAAGTTCCACCTTAAAAAAAGGAACAAAAGAAATCACAACAGGAATTACAGAATCTACCCAATTTAAAGATATTAATAATAGATTTATGAGGAATGGGGGTATATTTTAGGTATGATAATGACATTGTGATTATTTTCAAAAGAGCCCTTATCTTTTAAGGCTACATCTATTTAATAGGGTAATATGCAAATGGTTGGGATGCCATCATAGTAACTACCGATCAACAGGCTACATGCACAGTGGGTGGGCAGGGACTTGCAGCGTTGGGGATGCGATGGTGGCTGCCACTTGCCCAGGGCCGATCCGGGGCTCCGGCAAGCCGCCGATGGCTGCTGCCGCTTGCCAGGGCCAACCCAGGGCTCTGGCAAGCCACCAATAGCCGCTGCCATTTTCCCGGGGCCAGCCTTGGGCAAGTGGCAGCGGGGACAGCAGCAGGGGAGGTGGGACCCGGCAGAGGGCGGCCTGTACTTCCCACATGGCAGCGGCGGCTGTAAGCACTCCTGATGGTTGCTGCCGCTTGCCCAGGGCCAGCCTGGGGCTCCAGCAAGCCACTGATGGCCACTGCCGCTTGCCCAGGGCCGGCCCAGGGCTCAGGCAAGCAGCAGTGGGGATAGGGGCGGGGAAGGCAGGGCCCGGCAGAGGGCAGCCTGTACTCCCCACATGGCGGCAGTGGCTATGAGCACTCCCAATGGCTGCTGCCGCTTGCCTAGGGCCAGTCCGTGGCTCAGGCAAGCTGCCAATGGCCACTGCCGCTTGCCCAGGGCCGGCACAGAGCTCAGGCAAGCCGCCGATGGCCACTGCCATTTTGAGGGCCCAAGGCTCAGGCAATGAGGGCCAGATGAGGCTCAAGCAAGCCACAGTGGCTGCGATGGCCAAAGCTCAGGCAGCCTCATGGCCGGCAGTGGCAGCAGCAGAGGCGTGATGGGGGCGGTGCCTTCCTCTCATCGGCCGGTCACCTCCCACAGAAGGAGGCCCTACTGCGGCTTAGGCCCACTCCCTGTGGGGAACGGGCTTAAGCCACCAGTAGGACATCCCCTGAGGGCTCCCAGACTGTGAGAAGGGGCAGGCTGGGCTGAGTGATGCCTCCCCCGCCACCGTGCACAAATTTCGTGCACCAGGCCTCTAGTCTATAATAAAAGCATAATATGCAAATTGACCAAACAACCGAACAGCAGAACAACCCTCTGGACAATCTTCCAGACGACCATGCTATGACACCCACTGGACCCAGGCCAGCCAAGGTGGGTGCAATGCAACTGGTCAGGAGCCCGGCCATTGCTCCATGATCGCCCAAAGAGGGGGCCCAGGTCACTGACTGGTTGGCTGCAGCAGGTGAACAGGGTTTCCCTCTGCGGGGCACAATTGATCGCATGATCACCCTGCAGAGGGAGGCCCAGGCCACCGGTGGGTGAGGCGATCAATCAATCGGGGGGCTCCACGATTGCCCCAAAGAGGGAGGCCCAGGCCACTGACCAGCGGGCTGCAGCAAGTGGGTGGGGCCTCCCTCTGTGGGGCGCAATCAATCGCCCCAAAAAGGAAGGCCCAGGCTACCCCATAGTGGCACTGTGATGGGTGGCCAGGGCCCCCCTCTATGGGGATGATCCATTGTGGAGTCCCATCCGGGTGGGCAGGGCCTCCCTCTTTGGGGCAATCCATCGAGGAGCCCTGGCCGGGTGGGCAAGGCCTACCTCTTTGGGGCAATCAATCATGGGGCTCCCGGACTGTGAGAGGGCACAGGCCGGGCTGAGGGACACCCCCCCCCAAGTGCACTAATTTTGTGCACTGGGCCTCTAGTATTAAAATATTTATGAATGAAATATGTCAGGAATTTGTCTCAACATAAGGAAGGGATTGATAAATGAGTAGGGGTATTGATAAAGCACGCTGCCATATGTGAATAACTATTACACTGGGTGATGGCTATATTGGGTACATTACATTAGTCTCTTAACTATGTATCTGTCTGAAAATTTTTATAATACAGTATTTTAAAAGAAAAAATGCATTTAAGTTAGGGATAAAGTAAAACCTTCATCCATAAGCAAAGCATATTTCATACTGGTTATGAGTAAGCTCTGGAGTCAAACTGAGTTTAAATTCTTGCTGTCACTTGCCTGCTGTTTGAGTTTAAGCAAAACACACCCTCTCCAAGCCTGTGTCCTTATTTTTTAAATGCAGCTATGGTGAAAAATGCATACAAAACGCTTAGCAGACATAAAAAGTGCTCAATACATGGCAGCTATTATTATCATTAAAGGAAGATGGTAGCCATTGCAGGGCAGAGAAAAGCACCAACAAAACACACAGGTAGAAGCTCAAAAGTGTTTCTTATATGCCTAGCTGGAGTGGCTCAGTGGTTTAGAGTCAACCCATGAACCGGGAGGTCACAGTTCAATTCCCAGTCAGGGCACATGCCCAGGTTTCGGGCTTGATCCCCAGTGGGGGGCATGCAGGAGGCAGCCAATCCATGATTATCCATCATCATTGATGTTTCTATCTCTCTCCCTCTCCCTTCCTCTCTAAAATCTATAAAAGTCTTTAAAAAAAAGTGTTGCTTATAACCAGCTAGGGGCCCAGTGCACGAATTCATACACCAGTGGGGTCCCTCAGTCTGGCCTGCGGGAGCAGGCCAAAACCGGCTCTCCAACATCCCCCGAGGGGTCCAAGATTGCGAGAGGGTCCCCAGGCCAGGCCGAGGGACCCCACTAGTGCACGACTGGAGCGGGGAGGGATGCGGGAGGTTGGCCAGCTGGAGAGGGACCATGGCAGGCTCCAGGGCATGTCCAGCCTGTCTCACTCAGTCCTGATCAGCTGGACCCCAGCAGCAAGCTAACCTACCAGTTGGTGCATCTGAGCAGCCTTAGCATATCATTAGCATATTACACTTTGATTGGCTGAACTGACAACTGGGCAATTAGCATATTAAGCTTTTATTATATAGGATAATACCCAGCATCAACTAATCTATATATAAGAGCCTAAGCGACCACCCGACTATCCAACCCGTAGCTATGATAAGCAATAATCACCAGGGGGCAGACGCTCAATGCAGGAGCTGCTGAACTGCGGTGACTTGGCAACTGTGGTTCTCAGTTGATGCACCCAAAACCAGAGAGGACGGAGCCCAATTCCTCGCAGGGACACACGATTCCACCTTCGGCAGTGGGTTATGTTGTTGCTGGGGCACTGTTGGCCCTGAATCTGGATTACTGCACACTTGCATTTGCGTTCCACATCCTGTGTGACAGCACATTTGCAGAGTGCCCTCTC